AAACTGATGTAAGTTATGTGGACAAGAAATTAATACAAGTTCTTTCGAATGTGAAAAAAATAGTAGTGGTGCACTACCTCTTGCCAGACCTAACTGGCAGAACTTAAACAATGACTTTTCTCAGAGTCTATAATTTTGTGGGAATGTGTTATATTTACTCTGTACAAACAGCCAAAAAATGATGCATTGAGCTCTAGTTTTAATAATACTGTATTATATATTAATTTTTAAAATTATTCACTGCATGGTCAAAGAATAATTATGAAATTAGCAATTTTAATTAAAATAAATAATATACAAAATCAAGCAAATTTTTGTCTTTAATTAATTTTGAAACATTACTGCAATACATGTTTCTTGGTATGGAGTTTCACTAACAACAGGGGCATGAACTCTAGCCTCCTCCACAGGCATCTCACCCGAGGAATTGAGTGATGGGAACCCATTGCAGGCTAAAACGCAAACAGGAAGGGGAAAATGGGCGTACGGGAAGGGAAAAATTAGGGGGGGGGGAGAAATTTGCCTGACTTTTTCGGATTGTGCCAGAGTTCCAAACTTGTCCCATTTATTTTTATAATAAGCCAATATTGCCCGACTGTGAAGCGAATATTGCCCAACTGGCTTTATTTGCCCAACAAACTGGGGGACTGCTGCCCCCCTCGCCCCCTGCCAGGTACGCCCATGCCTGCGGAGGAGGCTCAGAATAGATTATAGCGCCATAGGGGCTATGAATATGGAAGCCAGGTTGGCCTAGTTAGGAGAACAATTTATTATTTCTTTGCCGACACAATTCTATTGTTTTGACAATATTTTCATGACCGATGTTGTTTTCACTTTATTTTGAAGAAGTCAGTCCAGTTAGTGTTCCCGCCTTCCTGGTGTAATTGAGAGCTTGCCTTGGGCAGGTGAGATCTGAAAACTGAGCCAGTCAGGTTGTCCATACAATTTGAAAGGCATTTCCACTATAAAAATAACCACACAGTGAGGTCTTGCTTACTGGCCTAGCTGTCGCATTAACAACCCTTACCAAAAATATGCCAGCACTTGAGTCAATTAACCCAATACTCATAAGGGATGGGACAAACAAGTTAATGGATGGCCTTTTAAAGATACATACAACAAACTATCAGAGAGCACACAATATACAAACTTGGGCAAAACATGCATTAATTTCTCAAATCAGCTGAGCAGCCTGAGCTTTGTCCTGCACCAGTTCACCACAAGCTTATGCATGACAAAACCCGACCTTGGCTAAATCTATATATAAAACCTTACTTCCCTCTTTAATATACTAGCACATCATAGTTTCATGTCAAATATTTGTCAAATTCATATACATGCACAACCATTAATTCATTGGGATTGAGGTATGAAATTATTAGATTTTAAAGTTATAAAAAGGTTCGTCTACAACCACATAAATACTCGTGGCTTGTTTTCTAAAAAATAGAGTACATTCTACCATTTATTCCTAACATTTTTTCATGAAATATTTAAAATAGTAATGTGAATTTTGAAATATTTATAAATACCTGTTTATAGTCTGATAAATACGGATGTTTGCTCTGGCTTGAAGTATCGTTTTTGTCCACATTTCGGCTTTCGCGAGGTTTTAATAGTTGTTTGTTGTCTTTCACGCTCCACGGACGACAATGAACGTGTACGGCTTCCACACCTTTGAACAAATGGTCAAACGTCGAAAAAATATGTCGAAAATAACAAAACAACAAGGATTCACTGCAAAAAGCCGAAATATTTTTATAAAAACCAGGGGGGGGTGAAAACTGTGGCGGGCTCATATTTGAGCCTTGTTCAGTGGCAATTACCATGAATTTAGGGACCAGTAGTCATGGAAATGGCGTCATTTTCACTCAAAATCCGCCATGTTTTTGCGGACACTTCGTTGACTGAACGAAGTATAGGAGCAGGTCCTCCAGTAATATAGTATAGCTCAGTGGAAAAGTCTTATATAACATGCTTTCACTTATGCACTTTACACTTCAATCACAAGGAGTGAGTGTTTGGTACAACCAACTTTGAGAATCATATATACTTCAAAATACTTGCTAAATTTGATTTGTGTTTGCTTTTAAGTTATAACAATATGCTAAACAGATTTTTATAGCAACAGAAAAGTTGGGAAATCAAGCAATAAAAACGTATATGATGGAATGCTTTGAAATTGTTGTTATGTTCTCTTTTGCTCACACACTTTCATTTCACACGCTTCTTCTTATAAAAGGCGGGGGTAAATCGCTCTAGAATTCAGGCCTGGATAAAGTATTTCTCTTCCTGGCAGCAAAATCCCAAAATAGAAATTTTCTGCTAAACTAATTAAAAATTTCCTGCGAGAATTTTTTATTATAACTAAGAGAACAAGCACTGATGTGAAAAATAAAATTATATACTTTTAAAAAGTAGCCACTGCACTCGACAGGCACATTAATGGCACTATGACTCTAACATCATTGAAATAACCTTTTTTATTCTTGCTGTTCCGGAAAATTATTTAGTTGAAAATTTGTTTTTCCGAGTTTCGGTTATCACTGATCATGCAGTCGTCACTAATGTGATGCAGTCATCGCTCATCAGTGTTCTGTAACCAGGGCGCTGTAAAACACGGGCGGTGAAACGGCTATGGCGCCCCTGATCTATGTGTGATGCAGGTCCCCCCGCATATTTTCATTTTTATTCGAATTCGATGTGGTTTGATCAGGCATGCATGTTTGTTTTGACTTCTTTTTAAAATTACTACGTAAAAAGGTACAATTCAAGCTGAATTCACAATGGATTTGGGATCTGTGCTATTAATACTATAGACAAAATCTTTTTTCCGGATTCTTAATCACGGCTGATTATATGGGGAATGTTGTAGTGTAAGATATAAGTCTGGGATTTCACTCACGAGGATCGATTGTTTTTGCAAAACAACTTCGTTCGTTCATAAGATGAAAAAAAAAGACGAAGACAAAGTTTTTTAAACGGCTGTTGTTGTAAAACCTGCAACTGGAATGTGTGTTTGGAAATCAGGTATGTTCAATCACACGTATTTTTGTCAAGTTCCACCAGATGAATTGATAAAAACAGCAAGTTTTTTTTTTCAAGCGATAGTTTGTTGTCGCAGTTTTACAAGCGCGGAAAATTTTTAACTTTTAAATATTTTATGCACAATATATGAAAACTAGTTTTATTTTGATGTTTTTGTATAATTTAAGTACCTAGCAGGCCTTAAAATATCTTTTCCAGGGCCGTCTGACAAAATGTCCGGTGACGTTGAGTTTGGGTCGGACATATGTCCGATGACCTTCAGTTCAGTTTTGATTCGGAAATAAGTCTGAATGACACAAATGAATAAACGGTAAATGTTGTAAAGATATTAAATAATTTGTTTCTTTCATACTTATTTCCAAGCCAAAATTAACTTGCTTGCCAGAACAGCAGTGTTAAAAAAGACTTCGACAACTTAAGCCCGTTTTCCACTTCACCATTTCGCTCGCCGCCCCGCGCTCGACTACGTTAAAACAACATTTTCAGTTCACCTTTTATACAATAGTACTCTGATTTTCCATTTAACATACAGGTCTCTAGCCTGGCCTAGGGTACATTTTGATTTACGTCGGATAAAGCTACAGTTCGGTCGGACACCAATTCACTTGGGTCGGACAAACAATAAACCTCAGTTTCACTTTGGTCGGACAGAATGTCCGGTGGTTTCCTCTCTACGTCGGACAATTTCACGAATGGGTCGGACAATGTCCGTGACCGACCGATATTTTAAGGCCTGCCTAGTTTTCTGATAATCACCAAATGAGAATGGGCTTTTTTAATTTTTAAGTATTTTTTGGCCTTGTTTTTGACATATGCATGCCAAATCTACACATGAAATACAAGCAAGCGATAGTTTGTTGTCGCAGTTTTACAAGCGCGGAAAATTTTTAACTTTTAAATATTTCATGCACAATATATGAAAACTAGTTTTATTTTGAAGTTTTTGTATAATTTAAGTAACTAATTTTCTGAAAATCACCAAATGATTATGGGCTTTTTTAATTTTTAAACATTTTTTTGCCCT